TTATACCCGTTGTCCCATTGTCTGTTTCATGGTACGATGACGGGATCTCTGAGCCTGGCCTCTTCCATCTACACCTGCGGACTGCCCCGCCCGACCTGCCTGGGAGTGCTTCGGTCCTGCACCGGACCTGTCCACGTTCAGCGGCCACTGGTCCACGTCCTGTAGCTAGCTTAGGTCCTAGATCATTAGCCTGTCCGTCCGGAGGAGCGGATCCCTTTCTCATATGGGTCTCCCTCCCTGTGGGTTTCCCTAGTTCTCCCCAAGGTTTCTCACTTTTTCCCACTGGGTTTTTTAAGAGTTTTTCCTTGTCGATGCAGGAGGGTCTTGTTGGACAGTTAGTGTCCAACAGAAAGGATTGGTGATGATCAGGACACTTTAGCATTCTACAACATGTATGGACATTTTCTTCTGTGTGTGCTTTATATTCTCCATGTGTTTTAACTGTTGATTCTCTGACCTGTGTTGGTGATTTCAATGGTTTTGTTAAGTCTCTGAGATGACTTCTGTTGTGACCTAGGGCTATACAAGAATAAATTGTATTGTATTGTGTATTGAGGATCCTCTTCTTTGATTTCTCCAGTGCCTTCAACACCATCCAGCCGCGGCCTCTCAGGGACAAGCTGGAGACAGCTGGAGTGGACTACGACATGTCCCAGTGGATCCTGGACTACCTCACAGACAGACCCCAGTTTGTGAGAACCAGGGACTTTGTGTCGGAGGTCCTGACCTGCAGTGTGGGGGCCCCCCAGGGAACTGTCCTCGCGCCGTTCCTCTTCACCCTCTACACTGCGGACTTCAGACACAACACGGACGGTTGTGTTCTCTGACGACTCTGCCATCATCGGACTCAGCTCCGTGGACGATGACACAGAGTACAGAGGAGTTATACAGGACTTTGTGGACTGGTGTCAGCGGAACCACCTCCTCATCAACGCGGGGAAGACCAAGGAGATGGTGGTGGATTTCCGTAGACGTCACTCTGCTGCTCCAGCTCCAGTGAACATCCAGGGAAAGGACATCGAGAGAGTGGACTCTTACAAGTACCTGGGTGTTCATCTGAACCACAAACTGGACTGGACTCATAAAACAGACGCCCTCTTCAAGAAGGGCCAGAGTCGCCTCTACCTTCTGAGGAGGCTCAGGTCTTTTGGAGTGCAGGGGCCACTCCTGAAGACCTTCTATAACTCTGTGGCGTGTTACGGGCTAGCCTGGGCCTTTTCCTGTGTCTCCGTCCTGCCGCTCCTGTCTCCTGTGTGCACAGGGGGACCAGTTGGCGTTGAAGCAGTGGGCGTGTTCGCGCACGCAATCAGCGCACGCGCATATAGCCTGGAGGATAGGTGCACGCGCTCTCTCGACGCGCTCCTGAGGGCCATTCCACTCCTGCCCTGGTGCCTGTTGCATCTCCTCCCTGGCTCTCCTTCAACATGCACTATTAAGTTTGTCTTTTGGTTTATGCACCTACATTCATTTCAATCTGAAGAGACCAAAGACACGATAAATACATTAAAATGATTTATTTGTTTGGCGCATTGACCCCGGCAGTGACACTTGCAGCTATGAGATCGATTGCAGCTGAGATGATCTCAGATCCCCCGGGGTCAAGCACTGGTGGTGGCTAGAGTATGGTGTGAATGGGGCGTAGGCGGAGCAGGAGCCGGAGTGGGAGCCTAGAGCGGGAGCCAGAGCGGGAGCCAGAGCGGGAGCCAAGAGCCAGAGGGGGTGCTGGGGAGGTGGTGGGTGTTTAAGAGCCTCAGGAAGCGTTGTTTGTCAGGAAGTGGTTGCCTTTTAAACTGCCCGCTTTGCTCTGAGAGGGTTGGCAGGAGGCTGGCCTGGCTGTGTGATTGGCTGAGGCTCGAGGCTGGCAGAGCTGTGTGATTGGCTGAGGCTCGAGGCTGGCAGGCACTCGGTCTTTCAGTCTGAACATCCGCTTGAGCTTCATTTCAATCTGAAGAGACCAAAGACACGATAAATACATTAAAATGATTTATTTGTTTGGCGCATTGACCCCGGCAGTGACACTTGCAGCTATGAGATCGATTGCAGCTGAGATGATCTCAGATCCCCCAAAAGAGGAAGCCACGCTATGTGTGCCGGGGAATGCGCAGGCCTCCCGTGGGAAGCTGCCTATCTGGAGGCGTGGGAGCCTTGCGTGGAGGCAGCATTGCATCGGGGCAGCATTGCATAGAGGCAGCATTGCATAGAGGCAGCATTGCATAGAGGCTGCATTGCATAGAGGCTGCATTGCATAGAGGCTGCATTGCATAGAGGCAGCATTGCATAGAGGCAGCATTGCATAGAGGCAGCATTGCATAGAGGCAGCATTGCATAGAGGCAGCATTGCATAGATTGAGCATTGCATAGATTGCATAGAGGCAGCATTGCATAGATTGCATAGAGGCAGCATTGCATAGATTGCATAGAGGCAGCATTGCATAGAGGCTGCATTGCATAGAGGCTGCATTGCATAGATTGCATAGAGGCAGCATTGCATAGATTGCATAGAGGCAGCATTGCATGGAGGCAGCATTGCATAGATTGCATAGAGGCAGCATTGCATAGAGGCAGCATTGCATGGAGGCAGCATTGCATAGATTGCATAGAGGCAGCATTGCATGGAGGCAGCATTGCATAGATTGCATGGAGGCAGCATTGCATAGATTGCATAGAGGCAGCATTGCATAGAGGCAGCATTGCATAGAGGCAGCATTGCATAGAGGCTGCATTGCATAGATTGCATAGAGGCAGCATTGCATAGAGGCAGCATTGCATAGAGGCAGCATTGCATAGAGGCAGCATTGCATAGAGGCAGCATTGCATAGAGGCAGCATTGCATGGAGGCAGCATTGCATAGAGGCAGCATTGCATGGAGGCAGCATTGCATAGAGGCAGCATTGCATGGAGGCAGCATTGCATAGAGGCAGCATTGCATGGAGGCAGCATTGCATAGAGGCAGCATTGCATGGAGGCAGCATTGCATAGAGGCAGCATTGCATGGAGGCAGCATTGCATGGAGGCAGCATTGCATAGAGGCAGCATTGCATAGAGGCAGCATTGCATGGAGGCAGCATTGCATAGAGGCAGCATTGCATGGAGGCAGCATTGCATGGAGGCAGCATTGCATGGAGGCAGCATTGCATGGAGGCAGCATTGCATGGAGGCTGCATTGCATGGAGGCTGCATTGCATAGATTGCATGGAGGCAGAATTGCATGGAGGCAGCATTGCATAGATTGCATGGAGGCAGCATTGCATAGATTGCATAGAGGCAGCATTGCATGGAGGCAGCATTGCATGGAGGCAGCATTGCATGGAGGCAGCATTGCATAGAGGCAGCATTGCATAGAGGCAGCATTGCATAGAGGCAGCATTGCATGGAGGCAGAATTGCATGGAGGCAGCATAGCCTGGAGGCAGCATTGCGTGGAGGCTGCATTGCATGGAGGCAGCATAGCCTGGAAGCAGAATTGCATGAATAGGATACAGAGAATATGCGGGGGTGACAAATCCGCACGCTCTGTAATGATTATGCGTGTATGAAGCGTTGGCCCTTGGAGCGTGCGGAGGGTTTCTCGCGCACAGGCCGCTTCGTGAGGGTGCATGTATGACGTAGGCCGCAGGGGATCTGTGGGAACAGACACTCACTGAATGAGCGGCTATGTGATCATGCGTGCGTGATGGATGCATGAAATGAAGAGTAGATGCGTGTAATCGCAGAGCTGATGCGGGCTCTGCGTGTTGAGAATGTGGAGCAGCAATGTAGAGAGCTTTCTCATACAAGATCTGCTATATTTGAGCATGCGTGTGTCAGCGTATGATACAGAGAATATGCGGGGGTGACGAGTCCGCACGCTCTGTAATGACTATGCGTGTAGAAGCGTGGGCCCTTGGGGCGTGCGGAGCTGCCTCTCGCGCACAGGCCGCTTCGTGAGGTGCGTGTATAGCGTGAGCCGTAGGGGGTTATGCAGAGAAGCTTCTCTGCACAGAGCGCTGCGGTGAGCATGAATGTATGATGTAAGACAAGGTGATCATATGCATGTCCGGATTGAAGTGCAACAGATGTTGAGAATGCTTATGTGAGAGAAGAGCCTTAGCCACCACCAGAGTATTTGATAATTACCTCAGATTGAAGAGGGAGCGCTGAGCAGTCAGAATAGTGTCAGTGTTTAGTCTGATAGAGGATGAGGCAGGACCAAGCCGTGGACCATTGACCCATTTGCTGTAGGGAAGAGTGAGGAAGGCCCAGCAGGCTGGAGTGCGGCGGCTATTCTTATCCAGCGGCCGGTATTGGAGAATCGGGAGATCACAGGAGACCGGCCGGATTTATTAAATGGGCTTGGATGCATTGCGCAAACATGACGTCATTTGACAGAGAGAGAAATAGCAGCCCATCTGAATCTCCTCTCCGTGCATGGAGGAGTGCATTTCATCAGGTGTTTATCTGGACAGGGGAAAAATAATGCATAACGAAAGTGTGACGACACCTTCCTTTTGGAGTGTTGAATGCAGGGATTATAGTGATAGGGGTAATAAGTCCTTGGGGCCAGGGTGCAGCTAACCACTGGCCTTGATATGACCCCCAAAAACCCACGGACTGAGCCGCGTCCGTGAAAAAGAAATAAGTAAGTGGAAGAGGCGGTGCCATCATGAAAGACGCCGTTCCGGCAGGCAGCAGCTGAAGCTCAGGTCAGCGCAGCACCTGCGAACAGGAAAACAGGGTTGCAGAGCGCGCAGGAGCCTGGGGATGAACCACGGCCTGAGGAATGACGTGCACTGCGAGGATGAGGCGGCCCAGCCGGAAGAGCAGCACCTGTTTGGGACGTGACAGAGGACAGGACGGACCAAGAGACCATGGTCCTCCTCCTCCTATCCTCTCTCTCTCCATGTCCAAGCTGAGGGAGCATCTACGAAACCTTCGATGAGGGTCATCACGTGTGCCGGGTGGCCAGTGTGACGGCCAGACGCCTGCCCGGCTTGAGATGGACGAGCCCCGCGTAGGAAGGGCATGCCCCGCGCGGGAATGACAGGGCCTATTGCTACGAGAATAATTCGCAAGGCGCGGCCGTGCAGCAAGAGCGCCCTGCAACATAAGGGAGAGATTAAACAAGAACCGACCGAATCTCCTTCTGGACAGGAGAGAGCTATCTTGATGCAATTAGGAAACTCAGAACGACGGCAAAGAGCGGCCACGGAGCAGAATAAGTACGAACAGAGCGGCACCCGAGAACGAGCAGTAGAGCGAGCAACCGTTACGATGACTCGGAGCCATGAGAGTGCGGCAGAGAGCATGTGACCGTTGTGGATGCTGCCCCCCGACTCCGCGCGGAGAATCGGAGAGAGATCGCCCGTATGAGGCGTAGGGCGGATCAATTGCACGCGGTAGCAGTGAGGGAAGGCCAGAGCACGTGGAGGATCCGGAGCAAACCGGCCGGACGAGGGGAGAACATGCAAAACTCCGCACGGAGGTGGAACAAAGCATAAAACTACTTTTGATAATCGACACCAGCCTGCTCAGGATAAAATGAAACACGCTGCTAATGACCTGGGGCAACGCGTCCCTATGAGCAATATTTACTGTACGCGGAGGGGGCTCGAGCATTTCAGTACGAGGGCCGCTTCAGTCCGCCAGACTAGTCCCGGGGCCGACACGTAGGCGAAACCGCAGTGGACTGGTCCGAACTTTAGGACAAACTATGAAAGAGCTGAAGTTGGCTGAATGACGACCTCCTGTCGTCTCGCTAGCTACAGATTAGCGGAGATTCGAGCCCGACCGAGAACAACAACATCTCAGAACGGGTTACGACACGTCTATATTGGCTGCGCTGAAGTAGAATGGACGACACCGAATAAGTATTTACGAACCCAGATTCCCTTTGCCTCAGTTGGAACAGGTTGTCTTTTAACGGAATGATGTTTTAACTCACATCATTCATTGCAAAGCATCTAATCATAATTACGATTAAACTACGGAAAGTTTGACGAGAGCAAGACAGCCCTGATGAGAACTGAGCGAAGCGAGCTTAAGACTATAAAACACATACGCATATACATATACATAACATATATGCACGCACGTATACTACGTACCTACATGTGCATGCACATATACAAGTCGAGTCTCTCCATGGCCTCGCACCAACATATAGTAGTGACATGTTAGTCCCATATGAACCAGCCCGGACTCTGAGGAGCACAGGGACTGGACTCCTGTTAGTGCCCAGAGTCAGAACTAACGTGGGTAGGCTGCCTTTCAGATTCACACTGCTAAAATCTGGAACAATCTTCCTGAAGATGCGAGACAGGCCTCCTCTCTGACAATGTTTAAGACAAGGTCAAAACATATATTTCCATCCTTCTTTTTAATGTTCTGTGAATATCTATGATTTTAATGCTTTCTTATTTTGTTCAGCACTTTGAATTGCCTTGTGTATGAATTGTGCTATACAAATAAACTTGCCATGCTTTGCCATATACATCATGCATACACATACGCCATTATGCGCGTGACAGGGCCATGAAGCTAAACGCACTTTCTTCACCTTATGGGAGCGTCCAAATCAGACAGGCGTCAAAACTGCAGATTCCTCTTCACCCTGAGCGAGCAATATTACATTAGGCCTTTGTCTAGGGAGCAACCAAATCAGAGAGGCGCCAAAGCTGCAGATTCCTATTCACCCTGAACGTGCAATATGTCGTTAAGCCTCGGAGACCGATACATTAAGCCTTAATACGAACAATTCGGGCCTTAGAAGGAGACTGATTAGGGAAGACTCCAAAATGTAATTTTGCATGCCACCAAGCACGCTGGAGTTTGAACTGTCTCACGGAGGAGACTTGAGCAGCAGTGACACGGAGCCTGGACGTGTTTAAGGAGCGGCGCCAATAAGCACTGACGAGCAGATCAGAGCGGGTCAAAGCAGGAACAGACCCCAAACAAACGATGGCACGGCACGGGACAATCACGGGCCCGGGACGAGCACGTACAACGCAACCACAATGCGATTCATACGGGCAAGCAGACCATGTCACGCCAGCGTGCGCCGCTTGTCTCTGTGAGCCAGGTTACATACGTGTCTGAGAGAGCCGAGCCGTAGGTGCAGCCTGGGAGCCCGCGGAGCGGCAGGAACAGCAGCAGCGGCACGTGTAGTAGTAGGAGCAGGGATCAGGGAACAGGCATTAGTAGGAGCAGCAGGGACCGGCAGCAGCGGCGGTCAGAGAACCATGCCCATGGTTGTTTAAGAGCCTCAGGAAGCGTTGTTTGTCAGGAAGTGGCTGCCTTTTAAACTGCCCGCTTTGCTCTGAGAGGGTTGGCAGGAGGCTGGCCTGGCTGTGTGATTGGCTGAGGCTCGAGGCTGGCAGGCACTCGGTCTTTCAGTCTAAACATCCGCTTGAGCTTCATATCGCACATAGCGCCCTCACTGCACACAAGCATTACCTGCACCTACACCACTGACTTCTACATAACACACCCCATATTTACCTTTTTGTATATATTAATATTTGTTATTCCGTTCTCTCAATTAAATATACTTTTGAGCACTTTAATTCCGCCTCGTCTCCCCTAGTCTTGTTGTGGCTCAGAGCCAAGCCATAACAGGTGGCATCAGCCTCTTGTACAGTGTGGTCTGCTGGAACAGCAGTATCACAGAGAGGGACAGGAAGAAGCTGGACAAGGTCATCAGGAAGTCCAGCTCAGTCCTGGGCTGTTCCCTGGACACAGTGCAGCAGGTGGGGGACAGGAGGGTCCTGAGCAAACTAACATCTATGCTGGACCATGACTGTCGCCCCCTGCAGGACACTCTCTCTGCTCTGGAGAGCAGCTTCAGTGACAGACTAATTCACCCTCGCTGTGTGAAGGAGAGGTTCCGTAGGTCTTTCCTTCCTGCTGCTGTCAGACTGTACAATAAGACTGTCTGACCGGATCTGGCGGGTGGAGGCGGCCAAGTTCAAGGGATCCCATTGTCACACCATGAAACACACCACAAGACAGTGGGTGAATAGCAATGAACAGACTACAGCCATAAGTCATTTAATGCAGACAGGAAGGACACACACCTGAACAAATGTTATTTAAATGCATTTTTGACTTGGTAATAATGTGTTCGTTCCTCTTCCTTACTGTTCTCTAGTTTTAAATCACAGAATGAGACAAAAAGGGGAAAGCAGACCCTCCTCACACGACTTCAAGACAGTCACAAAGTATTCTCGAGAGCTGTCCTTCACCAGACTCCGGCCAAACCTCACCTTCAGCTGTGGGGGAGGAGCTAAATGTCACCACCATCTAATGAAGAGCCCGCGGACAGGGACGCCGAGTCAGATCAATTATTTAAATCTTTCATTTTAAAAACCTCCAAAATACTGTGATGATTTTCAGCACCGAAAGGTCAGCAGCGCTTCATTAACCTCCCGGCACCTCCCTGCCTCAATTATCCTGTCAAAGAGCACTGGACGGAGAGAGGGGGGAGAGACGGGAGAGGGGAGATATGAGCTGACCACGGCTTTATCGAGGAGCTGGTGGCCATGGTTCCAGGGAGAGGGGCCTGATACGGGGACGGGCGGAGAGGCTCTGGAAGGCAGCACTTAGATCTCATTTCATAAACTTGGAAAGAGATTTTGAGGTAAAAACTTAAAGAAGCAGTATGTAAAACTCTGGCCAAAAGTGGTACTGCAGCCTCTTCCACTCTTCCTGACTCGGGTTGCCAGATATGCAGACGAATCCGGCTGGGACCATAACAGCTGAATAGACAGGAGTTTCATCAACAACAAATCTATAACCTTTTTCACAAAGATAGAAATCCTGGTTTTATTCCTTGTTTTCTCAGAATCATAACAAGACCTTTTTTAATTCTTCCGACACGGTGAGTTCTGGCAACCCGGACTGAGCCAGGACTGAATGAGGACTGATTTGTTTGGGATTTTTCTGAATTCCATAGATTTGATTGGGAGTTCTCCGGGAGCTGAAGAAGATGACAAAGTCTGGGATCGTGTCTTTCATTCAGACAGAAGATGTTTTATTGTCAATGGTAGAGACAGCATGAACAACACGAACGAGGCATGTTCCGACAGCAAGTTGTAATATACTCAGGAGAAACAGAGACCTCCAATCAGCAGCTGCCACAGTGCCAGCAGAGATAGTCAAAACAAGTAGTGGCAGAAGCGACAAGAAGCATCCAGGACCAGCTCTTCCAGCCTGCTGGAATCTCCGCTCCCAGACACAGCCGGTCTCTCACGCCGAGGAAAAGAAACAAGAAACTCCCTCAAAACAATCCAGAGAATGGCGCACACTGAGCCGCACATCCTCCACCAAATCTGTCAGGAATGAAGCAGACAGAGACGGATCGTAGTGCGCCAAACTCTTGAAGTTAAGTTTCTCTCAGGTTCCAGTTGTTTCAATTGTTTCTTTCTCTTTCAGACAGAATAAAGGCAGTACACAGTTTATATAGTCATTGTCACGTCACACATCGAAAGACATACGTGTCACAAAGAGACAGTCACATCAGAGTCATAACATGGATACACCATCAGAGTCCTTGTAGAGTCCTGCACGTAGGCCATATCGCTATCTAATTCTCACAGAGGTCCAGCAGTTTCAGAGTTTCTGAGTCCTATGGAGTCCATTTCTACCTCAGAAGGATGTGATTCTGGGTTAAAGGAGGTGCAGAGGGTCCTCAGGGCGAGGCTTTGATCAGACTGTGGTGTAAAAGTGTGAAGTCTCAGAGCTGCAGACATTATCCACAACACGCATCACCAAAACCACTTAGACATCTCCAAAACCACTCAGACCATCAGCTTCAGGACCATGAGTTTTGCAGGTGAGCGTTTTGTTTGAGCCATCGGCAAAGAACCGGCTCTGCACCCTCCTGGTCCAGGACTTGGACCTGGTCCAGGACTGCAGTGACTGGACAATAAACTTACTCATTAAAATAGAAAAAACTTTGGGAAATACAATTATATCATGTATTGAAAGCCCTGTTTCCACCGGCTCTACTCTACTCTACTCTAATTCACTGTGTTTTTATCAATAGTTTGTTTGTTTGGGACAGTGCACGTTAATGAACACTCCTGATTGTAACTTGGGCTGATTTCCATCCGTCCCACAGTCACACTCACACACTCATTCATCCTGAACTATTTTACATGGTTTTAGTGGTAGGGGAAACCGGAGTACCTGGAGGAAACCTACACAGACACGGGGAGAACATGCAAACTCCACTCAGAAAGGCCCTGTTCCGACCGGGATTTGAATCCAGAACCTTCTTGCTAAGAAGCGAGAGTAAGTAAGTAATCTTTATT